GTAACTAATAGCTTATCAGTTTTGATATTGTGTGAGGATGATTATAATGTGCAAGGAGAGCTAGTCCACAGTAACTCCTTTAGCAAGTGAAGCATTCCTTGCCCATCAATTTGCCATTAGAATACGCTTGCTAATTTCTTGGTAAAGAAAACTAACCAGAGTGAAAATGATGAGCAGATCCCTCAATTTAAGTAAGGAAATCTCAACAGTACCATTTGTTCTTCTGGTTTCCTTTATGCCTCTCCTATACGCCTTCCTTTAACCAAGAGTACAGAATGTGACATTCTAGTTCTTCAGCGGATGGCAGTATTCAGTCAACCACATCTCAAAAGCAAATCAAGAGAAATTATTTTCAGAGTCCTTAAGAGCCATCCTCTGTCCTACTTCTATGTTGTGTCTTTGCATCAAGGCAGACCAGAAGGCTACAGACCTAGACTCCATCAGTTTAGTCCTTAAAAAATTGGCTGATTTGTTGCTCTAATTGTTGTGCCAACTGCCAGAAGAACAACTATAAACCCACTTTTGCATGGGCTGTGAAACTACAGTTGGACACTAATAAACATATAATAAGCTACATGATATTTTTTAAAACAATTTAGTTCAGGTAAAAGCTGGATCCTATTCTTAAGGGTTATGTACTTCATTACTGTGATCCTCTTTCCACACAATTGATCCTCAATCAGACCTGCCATCATTTGGCATATTTGTTGCTTCTTTTTTATTTTCCTAAAATTTTCTCTTTTTATTTCTCTTACTATGTCTTCATTTATGTGGCCTCAAATTCTTTTGACAAAGGCAAAGTACAGATATTTCTCAATAAAAATAACTGTGTCACTAACACTTGTGGATTTTTCACAGAACTGCCAATATCTCAATTACAGTTAAAAGTTTAAAAAGTTATATCTGGTCAGAATATGAAATAAAATGGGACATTTTATTAAATAGCATTTTTTAAAAATTCTTACATATGTAGAATCACTTCATCATCCTTGATCATGGCATAGTTAGAAATGGAATGTAATCATCAACCACCACATATTCATTCCATATATACATGCACACTGGACATCTACATATACACTAACTGCCAGAGGATATTTAAAAGATAATCTCATGAAATGCCGAATTTTGTACATTGCTTTTCTGTGTGACTAACCATATACTTTCAGAGCTATTCAACATTTTTTAAAACAATGGAGAAGCAATTCTTTTTAATAATATATTATCTAAGAAAGTTACTATGATTCTATATTACCTAATATATAATCCATATTCAAATTTCTCTGACTGTATCCAAAATCTGTATCTTTAAATGGAGATAGATATACAAGTATAGAGATAGATATCTATCTCCAGGAGCCTATCAAGGTACATGCACTGTATTTGGTTGGCATGTCTCTTTAGTCTCCTGTATTTTAGAATAGTCCTACCACTGTTATTTCTTTTATAGAAATGGCATTACTTACAAACACAGGACAGCTGTATTACAGAAAGTTTGCATTCTGGATTTGTCTGATTCATACTTCATAAACAGATTTAAGTTAACCATTTTAGGCAGCCATTGTGTATGTCTCATTGAATCACTTCAGGAGACATGTTAGTTTGTCCCATTACAGATAATACTAAATTTGATCACCTGGCTAAGGGTGTAACTGCCAGATCTTTCCACTACAAAGATGTATTTTTCCCTTTACAATTCATAAATAATTGGTGGGGTGATACCTTGAGACCATGTGAATATGCTGTTTACCTACAATCTTTCACTCAAAGGTTTTAATGTCCAATAATGATCCTTGCCTGACTCAATTACTAATGCAAATCATTTTTAGCCACCATTCCTGTAAAGAACTTAAAATTTTTCCCACTTTTTTTTCTCTTTGTATTGAAGTAGGCTTTTTTTTTAGTGCCATTATTGACTTAGAAATTCTTTTTTCATTCAATGTATTATAATTCACTATAATATTATTCTTTTTGATGTCAAGTTATCTCAAATTTTGCCTGTGGGAACCCTTCAAGTAGGTTTCTATATATTTTTGACATGCCCCCAACCATATTTGAGTCATTTTTGCTTTCTGACATAGTAAAATGTTCCCAGATCTCTCTGCCCCAGATTTTGGAACTGGGAATTTCTCTAAGGAGCACTGACTCCTTTTAGTGGGAAATAGTATTTGGAAACCAAAATTTGGGCATTGGGTATGTTCATTCTTACTGCGGCATCATTGCCTCTAAGTCCTTTCCATGAACTGATAGGAAATCTCTTTTTTTAAACTATAAGTTCATAGTGATATATCCAATTCAAATTCAAAACTACAGTACACTTCTCAATTTTCCCCATTCCATAATTTACATCTCCTGAGAACACTGGTTCTCCAGAATCCAATATAATTACTCATTTGCTCTCTCCTGTATTACACACAAAAGAATTTCAGAATTACTACATAAGTACCACTAACAAGTCTACTAGGTACAGTTAAAGATCTTTGTGTAAGTTACAGTTCTTAAGACTATTTCCCTCTAAATTTGTACAGTCAGAATAATATGTTTAAATTAGTTAAATTAATTTTTTTGATGATTGTTATGAATTTGTTAGGTTCATTTGTTTCTATTTGTATTCAATTTCAGGATTTGTTATTTTTTATTTAATGCTGTTGTTTGTGAAATACTTGTATAGTTTAGAAGTCACAACTACATATAAAAACATATCCTCAAAGAAGTCTCACTTCATCCTTATCCTCTCCCTATTACTTACTCCTTACCCACTCCTTAAAGACAACTATTTTACTGGTCTCTGGGTTAATCCTTCCTGTGTTTCTCTTTTGCAAAAATAAACTTTATTTTTTCCTATTTTCCCCTCTTTATTACTAAAAAGGGACCATAATTACTAAATGTAAGTACTTATTTCAATGTGAAAATTATTCCGTATCAGCTCATAGAAATGTTCCTTATTCTTTCCAGTTATTATAGTTTTGTCAATCAGTCTCCTATGGACAGACATTTGGTTTTCCCCAGTATTCTAACACCACAAACAATCCTACAGTGAACAACTTTGAGCATACCTTATTCCACATTTGTACAGGGTAAATCCCTAGAACATGGTAGTAGGCCAAAGAGTAAATACAGGTACATTCTTGCTAGATATTGCAAAATCTCATAAAGTTACAGCATTTCACATTTGCATCAGCAGTATGTAAAAGTCTTTGTTTACTCACTGGCTTACCAACTAAGCATATTCCAAGGTTTTGAACTTCTGCCAATCTAAGAAGTGAAAATGGTCTCCCCATGTATTTTTTTGTGCATTTCTCCTATTATTAATGAAGCTGAATAACTTTTCATATAATGTCAGATGTCATATCTTTTTTGGTTGAACTGTCCATGTCCTTCTCATTTTCAAAATCTTGATTTAAATTTTTTAATGGAAAAATTACTTAAATTGTTATAATAATACCTTTAAACTGTTTTAAAAATAAAGAATAACAAAAATTGAAAGATGAATATATAAACCAAATGAAAAGAACACTAACATAATTTAAAACTATACTATTACACATATTATATGCTGTGTCATATTATATCCAATCCATTAAAAAAAGTGACAGCTCTTCATGAATATACCTCCCTGGGCAAGGGAAACAAAAGCAAAAAAGAACAAGAGGGACTATATCAAACTAAAAAGCTTCTACACAGCAAAGGACACCATCAATAAAACAAAAAGGCACCCTACAGTATAGGAGAATATATTTATAAATGACAGATCTGATAAAGGGTTGACATCCAAAATATATAAAGAGCTCACAAACCTCAACAAACAAAAAGCAAATAATCCAATAATAAAATGGGCACAGGATCTGAACAGACACTTCTCCAAAGAAGAAATTCAGATGGCCAACAGACACATGAAGAGATGCTCCACATCGCTAATCATCAGGGAAACGCAAATTGAAACCACAATGAGATATCACCTCACACCAGTTAGGACTGCCACCATCCAAAAGACAAACAACAACAAATGTTGACGAGGATGTGGAGAAAGGGGAACCCTTCTACACCACTGGTGGGAATGTAAATTAGTTCAACCATTGTGGAAAGCAGTATGGAGGTTCCTCAAAAAACTCAAAATAGAAATACCATTTGACCCAGGAATTCCACTCTTAGGAATTTATACTAAGAATGCAGCAGCCCAGTTTGAAAAAGACATATGCATCCCTATGTTTATCACAGCACTATTTACAATAGCCAAGATATGGAAGCAACCTAAGTGTCCATCAGTAGATGAATGGATAATGAAGATGTGGTACATATGCACAATGGAATATTATTCAGCCATAAGAAGAAAACAAATCCTACCATTTGCAACAACATGGATGGAGCTAGAGGGTATTATGCTCAGTGAAATAAGCCAGGTAGAGAAAGACAAGTACCAAATGATTTCACTCATCTGTGGAGTATAAGAACAAAGAAAAAAAACTGAAGGAACAAAACAGCAGCAGACACACAGAACCCAAGAATGGACTAACAGTTACCAAAGGGAAAGGGACTGGGAAGGATGGTGGGAAGGGAGGGATAAGGGGGGAAATGGGGCATTACGATTAGCACACATAATGTAGTGGGGGGGGAACATTGGGAAGGCAGTATATACAGAGAAGACAAGTAATGATTCTTTTAGCATCTGACTACGCTGACGGACAGTGACTGTAATGGGGTATGTTGGGGGGACTTGATAATAGGGAGAGTCTAGTAACCATAATGTTGTTCAAGTAATTGTACATTAATGATACTAAAAAAAAAACACTAGTAAAAGAAGTTTGACACACAAAAAAAGTGGCAGCTCTTTAAAGTGAGAAGAATATTAAGAAAAATGCCAATTCATTCGAGTTCCAATTTTATGATGCTTACTAGCATAAATAGTTAATCCCACAAATAACCAAGCCATTGAAGAAGGTGAAAGTTTGGGAAAGAGATGACTGAGAGACATTTCATTGTAACAGTTTCATTACACCCACCTCATTAGTACAGGTAACTCTTCTAGGATGAGGAGCTTCCTGTTGCAGCTGATACACTAAAAATATAAAATAAAAGATGTCAGTTTCCCTTATGTAGAACATCTGAATATATCAGGAATCAAAAACTGGCTGCTTTTTTATTTCCACAAGAAAACTACTGTGTAGTTCTGTTATTACATTAAAATTTGTTATGAACAAAGCAAGGGAAAGGAAGCAAATTGAATTTAGTAAAAGCCCAGGAGCAAGCACAAACACAAAAATCATAATCCACACAGGTGTCTTTTTACCTTGTAAATCAGTAAGAGATATTTGGCTCTGTTCTCCATAATCTGGTCATTTATTTTCCCCAATTCTTTGTGGACATATTACATAAAGCACATCTTTGATATAAATCAATAATGGTTATGTATTTTTAAGCACATTATTATGTGACAAAATTGAACCTAAAATTAGGATTTATGTGTTAGAAGTAACAGATATGTTGTTTCTCTCCCCTATTTAAATTGCCAACATCTATCTTCAAACATAATTACCCCTAAAAACAAAATTTCTGACCCAAAGTTACCACCAGTTCTTCAACTATGGCAAATACAGCAAAAGAAAGAATTCAGGTATTGAAATAACTTGCCAAGGAGAGGATAATTTTTAGTGTATCTGAAAATGAGTCAGTTAAAATCATACTGATACCATGACTTTCGAGCCTCACCTCAGGCTCTAATTTGAAATAAAGAATGAATAAAATGAATGGTTGTCAGAGAAAAGATATTTATGTATGTCTAAGTTTATCTTAGAGGGAATTTTTTTCTATTTCCACATACTTAATCACATAAAATTGAATTTAAGTTAATACTTTAAATACTTAAGATATTTCATCAACAAAACATCAAACTACCCAGACATCTCTGATTGTCAGATAATGAATGACTCAGATTTCAACTGGGTATCATTACATAGACTCCATCCCTCATTTCATTCATATATATCACAGGAACATACATAAATTAGACTATATATAAAAATACATAATTAGGCTATGTATATGTATGTATGTATACACACTATATATGAGAACATACCCAGACATACATCCTTGTTCTGTATCACTATGTATGTTTGAGTTTGTTCTGAGATGGGGAAGGGAAGCAAGCAAGCACTGAAACCAAACTTGCGTGGCCCTAGAGTGTGCGTGTTATCACCCAGATAATACATGTGTGATCTCCACATTCTCAAGAGAAACCAAAATATGATTTGCAAAGAAGGGAGGATTATTCAGGTCTATCCCTCCATATTGGTAACTAACGATGGGAAAATTCAGTTCACCTTTCTGCTTTTAGTCAGTGATTCTCAAAAGATCAGTTACTTTCCTTTGTCAAGGAAATTCTTTAGAGAGTATTGTCACCTACAGAAACTAAATTATGAGAACTGAATGGTACTCAAGAAGGATGTTATAAGTTGCCAGAGAATGTAAAATGTTGATTTTGGTTCAAAGTACACATACTATAGTACATGGTTATCATCAGTAATGCATATTTACCTATTCAGTAAGCAAACATTTAAGATAAGCCTGTATGAAAAAAGGAGTGACAATATCAAAACGTGAGAATTTCACCCTTTGTTTTTTAATCAGGCTCAAAGGTTATAGTTCTGTTTCATGAAGAGAAGTAATTTTTAGACAAATGCCTCCTCATTGGCACCAATGATAAGTCTATCTTTAAGGTTCATTATAATAAATAATACATAAAAGGGAGTTTTGGATATTGTACAACTGAATATAACATAAATTCAGGGACTACCTATCAAAAGAATCACTAAAAAGTATACACAATAATAAAGACTCATTCAGACCCTTCTCAGTTTGGAAGTTTTGGTAATTTAAACGGAAACTCAGATGAAATTTCAATTGCCCAATCATTAAATGCTTCACCAAAACTTAATAGCTAAATTCAAGATGAGAAGATACATGATTAAAGTACTTAACATTATTCAATTACTTTAGAAATGTCAATGCTTATATACTTATACATGAATTTCTCAGTACCTGGAGACAATCCATTGTTAATCAAGTTCAGAGATTATAGTTTGGTACTTGAGGTTCAAAACTGGCTCACCAGTGTTTTGTTTGCTGTTTTCTACATTTAAATTTGTTCTTATTTAAAAATTAAGAGATTTAACTATCTAACAACAATAAAAGCAAAAGAAAATTCCAGTGTCTCTTGAAAAATCAGGATGTGACAGCGTTGGACTTAAAGTTTCAGATGATCACAGTAAGGGGGTGCTGTGAGCTACTCCCCACAGACAGGCGTCCAGGCTCTACCTTCTGAGAGCAGCCGCCTGACTCTCTGGCCTCATTTATTACCTGTAGCTCCCGAGTTTAAGGAAGCAATATATACCGAAAAGCAATAAAACTGTACTTGTTTTAAAAGAGCCCTCATCTTAAGACTTCTTACTAATTCTATTTTCCTAGTGGTTTGCGTTTGTCAGGTTTTACAATTACATTGAAGGGATTTCAGGCATTGAGGCTTCTAAAAGAAACTATAAAATCAGTAGCAGAAGTCTCACCAACAATTAAATCTGACATTTTTTAATACAAATGGTAGCTGCTATAAGACAGTTGAAGATATAAAGAAAATGCATCATAAGTATGTGCAAGGTACAAATCAGAGCAAAGGGAACAAAGAAACTGAAAATGAGAAAATACAAAGAATTTTTAAATAGGCTTTTAGTCAATGAAATTATAAGACAAAAATCTTTAAGAAGAGTATTAGTCATTTTCATACACACTTTGAACTATACTCCCCAGAAGCAAAAAGGCACCAGCAGGGATGTGGGAGAAGCACAAATGGCAGTATTTTTAGAGACTGTTCATATCTTGCACCCTATAATTAGCCCAATGTAGTACACGATGAAAATAAAACTATCCATTGTTTAGAACGTAAAACTAACAAGAATCTGAACTGCTGCTCCTTAAGTCAGCAAATTTCAGCAACTTATAAATATAAAAATTTAGAGTAACTCAACATTTACTAAGATACTAATACTATATATTTAAAGTACAGGTTTCTTAGGTTGCTAACTCTACGGACAACAAAAATTTACAGTACTGGTTTTTGCAGTAGTGTATTCATGGATCTCTTTTTAAAACTAATTTAGTTACATTAACCCTATTTCCACTTTTAAAAAATCTGAAATATCTTTTACTCAGAAAATAGTAATATGCTGTAGGAAACAAGGAAGGGAAAATAAAGGACTAAGAACCTAAACTCTTGAAGAAACTATTCCAACGCAAAATTTAAAGAGTAATACAGAACTCAAATGTTCCTCTTCTACATTTGGGAAAGCAATTCCTAAAAAATTAACCAAAAAAATTCTTTTGCCTCTTTTCACCCATTCACTCTATTAAGATAACCTCCTGACCTACCATATTTATATATTCCTTTTTCATAAAAAGAATCAGGATATGAGAATAATTAGATTGCTTGAATTCTTAGCTTCACTTTGCATTAGTTTTATCAGCTATTATTAACAAGTAGCCTCAAGATCAATAGGGAATTCCATGCAAGCTCAGAGTGGGATGAGATGTATTCCAGACATGCAAACCATATACAGACTTTGTGGAAACACTCCTGTTTTCTCACAATTTCTTCTTTCATGCTATTCCCAAATCCTGATGTGAACTGATTTTTCAATAATCGGTACAATATGGAACGGATCCTCATACCTAATGATCCTAATATTTTTATGTTACTTATAAAACACTATAACCCACCCAATTTAAAATTATTTCTATACTTACAGTAAGATTTCCAAACAGGAGGTCTATATTCATCTGCATCTGAAAGAATAAAGAACATTACTAAATATTTATCATTTTAAACAAGATATTCTAATCACTAATTTATTTAATATATATTTGTTGAGGTGTTATTAGTCCTAGGCATTGTGCTAGACACTAAAATTCCAAAAGATTTTTATCTTAGTCCTTACTTTCTTGGAGTAGTTTCATGAAGATGTTCAAAGAAAATTACCGTATTTATTCAAGTGCTTATCACACAAAAACATTAATGTTAATTTTTATTGCTTGCACTCATTTTTTACAGTCTCTGAGGTAATACCAATAAGGTCTTTGTTTCTTTGGACTTCATGCTATTATTATTTCACTGAAAGACCCCTGAAATCTTTGGAATTTTTCAGTCAAATTGACCAGATAACAACTTTAAACCTCATAAATATAGTTCTTTATGTCCCCCCACCATATTTGGGGGATTCCAGATTAACTGGTTTTACTAACATCAGTGAAGTACAGCAAGGTAACTGATCTTAGTCTTCATACAACCTGGACAATCAAAACCAGGAAATGAGAAACACGTCAGTGGAAGGGAGCCTATCTAGGGAGCCACAAAGAACATGAGGTGAACATCTGCTCTTCAGGTCCATTTCCCTTCACTCTGCTTGAGTGTGGATGCAGGAGACAGTGTGGAGAGGCAGTGGGAAGAGATAGAAATACAAACACACGAGGGAAATGGGGGAATTAGAGAAAGGAGAGGGGACACTGTTGGTCATCAGTAAAAGCACAACTGGGAAATAATCTTGTCAGCCAAAAGTGCTGCCTGCAAGGCCATGTGGCCAAACCAGCTGACACAGCGTCTTGGTGTGGGAAGGTGCGGCTAGCCACCTCACCGGGCTCTGCTGGCATCCAACACAAACTCATTAAAGAAATAATTCGGCCAAAAATCTGGGTCTCTGAGGAGGCCATAAAATTCCTGGAAAATTTATTGAGAAGACTAAATCTAACACATGCTGGTCAGGTAAAAATGGCTATAGAGTAGAAACATTAGACACCCAACTCCCAACTTTTAAAATGAAATCAAACAATTTATGATGTGCTATAAACCACACAAACACTTTGAGGGCTATGACAAGACTACTAATAATAGGCATAAGGACACAAAAAGGAAATTCTAAGCTACATAGAAATTGCTTGGCACTCAAAAGTATTCAAACATGTCTTCTTAAAGAATAAAAGATTACATGAGTAAATGAATGATGAACTAAGTAATACAATACAGTTGATTCCCATTACGATAGTTACATTCTATAGTCACTTTGAACAATGAATTTGTGCGTATTGAACCATTGCTCCTAGGGGAAACACAAAGTAAGGTTTCTGTGGGCCTCTAGTCACAACATTTTCATCAACCGAACAATACATAACCTTGCTTTGCATGTGTTTCTGTTTAAAGACACCTTATTTCATATAATTGTTGATTGATTAACATTGACTTCACAGCCAATGGCACTGTAATTCATGCCACAGTGAAGTTTATCCAACAAATACATCTCCTTCCTAAGATACAGCAGAGCCTTCTTGTGCTTAAGAACACCAGGCAGCAGTTCAGCACTATGCTTGGGGGCTGGGGGCCATTTTAAACAGCAAAATCACCTGGCATCAGGAAGCCCAAACACAGAAGAAATAGCAAGTAAAATGGATGGAGCAAAGACTCAAAGGAGGGAGGAAGTAATGGGCTCAAAAGTCACAGGTGGTAGGCAAGGCCCGGGAAGGTGGAGAGAGTTCTACTTCTAAGAGGGAAAGTAAGAAGACTGGTTCTGCTTGAGACATTCTCCTCTGTGACTGCAAGAAATCTAAACAAATTCAAGGAAAAAAAATGAGATAAGTGAACTACATAAAGACCACATTGATTAGTATGTACAGTATGACCACATTTTTATAAATGAAAGAAATGTGTATGTACATGTGATTAGGTATGTGCACATGTACATACGGGGGCAGAGGAACAAGGAGAGGGAGTATGAAAGACCTAGTATGACATACTAACTCACTTGGCAGTAGTTACCTCTGCCTGGATCAGCCTTTCTCATCCAGGTTCCTCATCTGAACTATAAAGCACAGAAAATGTTTGAGTGACTATTTTCTCAGTACTCCCATGTGCGGTAGATAGCCAGTGTCTCTCTAGAAGCACAGAAGAGAAGTTAACTTATCACATACAGTGGAGACCCTAGGCCACTGAGGTGTTATTTTCTCCCAAAACCAGGAGGACAAAGGCTTCTCTAGACAGTAATTTTTTATTTAACATATCTATGTAATTTTTTTAAAATTATACAATGAATGCATTACATTTGTGCTAAGGAAGAAAAGGAACTATTAAAAAAAAGTACTAAGACAGTATATCTTGCTCCCTTTGGGCTCCTAAGAGTTTTATGACTATGAGTATTCTATTAATATAGTTCTAGTTCTTTTCCAAAATAACTAGTTCTGATTAGATTTTTAAAAAATAAGCAATATTCAGTTACTACATGAAACAGTCAAGAAATTTGACAGCCTAGGGACTTTTTTTAGTTTAGTTTAATCAGACATTGATCTGATAAATACTTTAATTTACTTTAATCCATGGAAAGTTTAGTTGTCCTTTCAAGTTTGGTTAGCTGTTCTGAATTATATAAAATTAAAATTTTCTAAAACGTCAAAAAAAAAGTACTATGACAACTATTTGTGAAAAGAGGAAAATATGGAAACTGTTTCCATTAGAGAAAAGTCCCAATTAAGGAACTCAATAGGAAGTTCTGTTTTGAGTGGACTCTTAAAATCATATTTCCAGTCTGAGATGTTTAGAAATCAACTTTGTGGCAAATTTATACATAAAGCACCATCTTCTAAAGTCCCTGAATTCCCACTCAGAATCTCTGTGGAAGTCTTCATTTATCAGTTCTCTCTGTTTTAACTGAATCTGCTGAATGGCAAGCATTCATTATGAAAAATAGAATGGTTTTTTAATTAAATTTTCTTTCACTTGTGGTTAATTGTTAGAATTGTTGAGTCAAGGAAATCTTACTTTAGCAATATATTTTATCATGTTTATGAAAAATGATTCCAATTTTTTTCTTGCTTTTTAAAACTAAAAGATACAGATTTTAAGCAAGATCTAGTGTTAAACTTGCTTTTGCCTATCATTTTCTTTTGGGCTTTTTTTCCCTAAATATAAGTATTTTCAGGACATTCATTTGTCCTTTAATATTAAAAATTTCAAGATACTTATCTGTACCTTTAGGCAATGATTAAAGAAACCTTAGCAAAATACATCTAGGATAATATTTTTGATATCATATGATATGATTTACAATATTAGGGCTATTACTCAGTGATTGACAAGATTAAATTTATTTTTATAAATAATGTTCTGAATTTTTAGATTAACTTAAAACATTGTACAATTGATTAAATCCTTATGTTCCCTCTAATTAGATCCTATTCACATCCAATATATTATGGATATTGTTGAAAATGACTTTTGAAAACAAAATTAATTTCATTCTTTTTATGACATATCATGTAGTTAAATCTTATAAATTCTTTAGAAAAATATTCCTCTTCTGAAGTTTAAAATTGCTTAACTTTTTATTCTAAAACAGTTTATTCCAGAACATAGAATGTTAAATTTAAGCTGTTTATTGTTTTAGGCTCAAACCACAATAGCTTTTACAAATTCTTAACAATACGATGGGTTTTCTCAAAAGGACTATGCTGCATTTTAAATGAGGTTTAAATTAATGACACATGAACACCCAAAAACTATGTGATTAATCTTGTAAAGCACATTTGTTTCAGATTGCCTTTGGCTTGAAAATTAACAATTTTGATTTCTATAAAAAAGAATGACATTTATTGATACAAAAAAGAACATTTCTTTCCTTCAAATGAAGACTCAACTTTCAGCCAACTGACAAGAGATTCCCTGTCCTGCTTTAACCAGAAAATGTAAGGCACTGAAGATATTTTGCTGTTTTGTTTCTGTACTAAATTTTGGCACATCAAAATAATGAGATGTTTGTGATCACAAAACTCTAACTAGAAAGTGATCTTTTAAAAGAACAGGGCATAAAATTCGCAATAAATACCAATTACTATTATTAATATTTCAAAGAGTCACAAAGAAAACCACCAACCGTCTTCCTATAAAAGAAATGTATCTCTTGGAATACAAAAATTCCCAGTAAATATTAAAACTCTCATAATAACAGAGACTATTCTAAACTAATGAAGAAACGAATAAATATGGTTTCTAGATTAAAAGTAAACTAGGCTTCTAGGTACCTCATATCCTGACTAAACTTTCCTAGAAAATCCTTCAAAATGTGGTAAGAAAGCATTTCAACTAGGATAATTAAAATTCACTCTACAAAGTCTTGGCCAAATCAGGTCAGTTAAATTCACCCTTAGAAGAAACAAAGTCATTTAAAGCCGTTCCACGTTGAAAACTGATGTGTCATAATAAAATTGTGACAGAAATAAACTATCTTTAAAACCAAAGATAATTGTTTTTAATTCTTCAGGGAATAATGACCCAGAACTGTTAAAATATGGGGGGAGGAAATCTTGCAAGACTGTGCAACTCCAGTGCTCACAGGTCATCAAAGATCTCCAAAATCAATTATTTTGCAAATAAACAGCATTCAAGTCTTCCCAGGGACCCAAGCTTGGGCCATCAAAGCCTCCTAAATGAAATGTGAATCAAACTTGGAAACTGCTCCTTTTTACAACTGAAGCTTGGCCTTTTATTAGAAGACCTAAGCTATGTTTCTTTCCTCGAACCAATTTGGCAGACCTAGCGAACACCCTACACACACAAGTCCTCCTGCTTACTTTGACCTTTCTATTGTACTCTTGGAAAGAAAAAGCTGTACACAGGAACTGGGTCATTCAACTCAATTCAAAGGTAAGGGTTGTCATTTTCCAATCTACTATTTATTTTTCTAGACAACAAGTTATTCCTCTCTGATGTTTCTTGTTAAAAAATTTGATAATTTCTGATAATATTT